CAGGCATCCATCCCGCACTCACTCACAACACCCGGATTGGAACAATGTGGCGCTTAAGCAAATCAGGTAAGTTTAGCAAGTCAAGCGGTAATCTCGATTATCGGAAAATTGAGAGAATTGTTAGAATCAGGGTAAATAAATGATTTGGAATTAAAACCCCTTGCGAATAACTAAGTAAAATCGTGGGTTTCCTCCTCGTTTTATTATTTTTAATTATTTTCCTTATTTCTTAGTTCCATTGTCGATAATAACGAAAATAAAAGCAATCTTGTCAAAAATAAATTCCCATGGAGTTCAGTGAATTAACGAAAATTCTTTGTTTTCTTTTTCTTTTATCGCCTTTGATCCCTCTTTCTTATTTTTCACTCTATTGTCAGAAAGTCCAATAATTGAGGGCGGTCCCATTAAAAATCAAATATCAAAGATTTTGAATAAATTAATGAATATTCCGTTTTTCTCTTTTCTTGTTTTGTTTTTAATTCATGTTCTCTTTTTTAATTTTGATACCAAAATTGATGATATCCAAGGCCCCACTTCTGCGTCAGTTGTGGAGCGTAAAAGAACCACGCCCAAGCCCATCTCCATCTTGCTGTTCAGCAGGTGGCCGTCCTGGAAACAAGCTAAAAACGGCGGTATTGAGATAGACGCCGCCGCGGTAAGGTAGTCCTTCTTATCAATTTCGAGAGCTAGTCTCAACAGTCGTCATATCTACTCTTAGGGGTACTCGGGGTACCCCTAATTTGCTGCATGGTCAAACCAGAGTACCGTCATTGCACGGACTTGTCTTTGAGGCTAAGTCCCTAAGCCGTGGATTTCAGGCGGCGCACTACTTGTGGCCGCCTGACACCGGATCCGAGTGGGAAGCCCTGTCGGAGGAAGCCATGCGCACAGGCACGGAGGCGAAAGATCCTGAGGCCGCATGCAAGCGGGAAGAGATTGCCACCGGGGAGCGCCAGCTGGAGTTAGCCAGCGGAACAAGCCTACGCATCAGTGACGATCCGACCAGGAATCCGGAGCCGCCGAAGCCTGAAGATGGCGACCCCGCAGCCGCCGCCCTAAGTATCGCGCGACGGAGACGAAGCAGATCCATCTCCTCCTCCAGCCCCACCCGTCCCCCAGTTCGCCCACGTACCAATGCGGGCGATAGGCCTTCGTCCTCGGATGTTATCCCGCCGTCCCCTTAATTTTCTCACCATCAAACAGATTCGCACCCCCTGTCACCTTCCCCCTCCATCCCTTCCTTCCCCATCTCTTCCGCGATTTCTACTCTACCCGCCTACTCGCTACCGTCTACCCCCACCCATCCCCTTAGCCCGCTGCCCCCACATTCTGCTGGCATATCCTGTTGTTCTGCGCTGCATGGGAGCGATGCAATGTGGTAGAAGTCTACTGCGTAGCCACGGGGACAATCCCCGCCTGTCGCCACTACGAGTTCTTTCGAGCGGCGCTCCTCCGCACCCTCTCCTTCTTCTATCGCGACTACCTCGCTTCCCTCCCTCATAGCGGCGATCACTTTCCTCGCTTTCACCGGATCATCCGATATGAGGAGCTTCCGGTGACGGTAGAAGGGATGAATCGCTACCTACCCCGACTTCCTCTCCGTCGTCCCCGTGAGATCCCCTCCATGTACCGCCTCTACTGGCCCATTCCAACTAGGCGGTAGATCCCGATTACGTGACTATTCCCCCCCCCCCTTCCTCTCTTCATCTAATCAGCAGGGGAAAGCGGCACGAATCTGTAAGCTTCGCGAAGATCACGCCAGCGACGATGACGTCAACCTTCGCTCTGATTTTACGAGCGGCGACAAACTGCGGTGCAGAGCACACGGAGAACCGGTGGACGATGATGGCATCATCTGGACGACCATCGATGATTCCAGCAGCACGATGGCAGTTGAAGATGGCGTCAACATGGGCTCTGGCTGCATCGTTTGTTGATACGCTTGGTTCCTCATGCATCACTCTGTTCTCTCTCTCCCTCTCTCCTTCTCCACCATGACATGCAATTAGGAGGTCGCATAATTTTCGAACCCCCTGCGCGTCACATATGTGACGAACTACGTCCCGAACCCGTGCTATCTTTCGTACCCTGTTCGCTTGTATCACACCCCTCCCATAAAGACCCCGTTTTGCTTTCTTGATTTCGGGTGCCACGTTCCGGGCCCCCATCTTTCGGAAGCTTGTCTGATTCTTCGGTTCTGCTTTTTTTTTTCTTTTGCGTGTCGGGAAATGCATAGGAATTTACGCGCGCCTTAGTGAGCGCACTGGGAATTGGGCCCGATAGTTAAAAATTTCGGGATAAGCGGAACTTCAACGTGTCCTTTTTGTGTGTGAATGTTCTCGGTCGCGTTGGGGAAAACTCTCGGAATTTTGTGGGAATACGAATAGGCATAGGGCTTTCTTTTCCCGCGTCGCTTTTTCGTGCGCGAATATGGTGATTTCAATTTTGAATTGGTTTAGGATGTAGGCAAGTTGTAACTGTCTTGGTGCCTTTTTCTCTTTTTTGTTGATGGCGCCGCGCATGCACAACTTTCTCCTCTCTGTTCCCCGCATCACTCTCTCCCGCGCTCCCTTTCTCTTCCTCCTCCTCTCCCTCTCTCCTCGTAACTGTTTTTCTCCCTCTCGCTCTCTCCCGCTCTGCTCTTTGTGCGCGCCCATTTCCCTTTCTTGATCATCTGAATCTTGGACCCGTCTTGCGCTACTTCTCGCGCCTTTTCTTTTCTCGCCCTTCGAGCAAAGCTTGTGAAGTTCGGTCGATCCTTCAATCACTCAGGCCCACCAATCAGACGCGTGGAACAGTAGCATCTGCCTATTGCGCGACGAGTCTGATTGGGCCATTGCCGAGTACCGAAGGATCAACATGGCTTCCACGAAACGCTCTTCTCAAAGTCTTCTCCTCTTGCTTCTCCTCTTACACTTCGACTTTCCCCCTGCATTCTCCCTCCCTTGTCTCCCTCCTCGCTGCTATAAATTTCGCAAACGCGTCCGCAAAACTCTCTTACGTTCTCGACTCCTGAGCCAGCTTCCGGAAAGCAGTGGCTAGGCAGAGTGTTTGGATGCGAGTCGGAAAGTCCTGTTAGGCTGACGATAGGCTGGCCGGTTGCGCGCTTGATCGCCACGGCGGACTGTGGGATCTGGGCGAACCACGTCGAGTTTACGTCGGCAGGGTGACGATCGCAGTGGTAGGAGTTAGCACGAGACGACCGGAATCGTCGGTGCGGGTATGGGGATCGATGATTGGAGTTGAGTGAGTGATTGGCCTCGGGCCATATTGGAATTAACGGCGAATGCACCCTTGTTGTTGCGGATCTTTATCTCTGGCGTGAGTTCATGGCAACAACGCCGAACTTCCTCCTTTCGATCTTGTCATCTCCTTCTCTCTCCTATGCTTGGGGAACAGGCCGGTGATGTCCATGACAATCAATTCCCTTCGCCTCAACGGGACTGGCAATGGTCGTAACTCGCCGTACGGATGATGGTTGCAAGATTTGCAGCATCAACAAACCTCGCATGACTCGCAATAGCACGTGACGTCGCCGAGAAGGCCAGACCACGAAAATCGCTGGCGAAGTCGGCCAATCGTGCGATTGATTCCAAAATGTCCTGTGACGGGAGCGTCGTGGAACTCGCCAAGAAGCCGTGTACGCAAGTGAGGGTCACTCGGTACACAAAGAAGGTCCTTCCCCCGCGTGTGAACAAGTAAGTACCCTTCTTGGATCCGGTAGTGAGAAGGAGCCGGATTAGGAGAGGAGCAATTCACGTGCTTGTTGCGAAACTCGGGGTCGGCTTGGTAGCCACGGATGAAGCTGTTCTGCAGGTCGTCGTCAATCTCGAACGTCGAGTAGACTGCGGTAAAATGATCCGGACGCCGTGAGAGAGCATCCGCAAAACGGTTCGACTTCCCGGGAATGTGATCGGGAAAGAAGTCGAACAGGTCAATGAAAGCCATCCATCGAGCGATGGTGCTGTTGACGGTGTCTTGTGTCTTGTAGAAGACCAACGGATTGTTATCTGTTACCCATCGAGATTGGCTTCGACCAAGGAGGAAATGCCACCACCGCTTGAGCGCGTGGACGAAGGCGAGGACCTCCTTCTTGCGTGCATCGTCAATGGAATTTACGAGGGGCACTTTCTTGCTGAAGTACTCGACCGGGTGCCAGTCCGCACCATCATGTTGCTCGAGGACTGCACCAATGCTATAGCCTGACGCATCCGTAGCGACACGCGTAGGTGTGAGCGGGTCGTAGATTCACAAGACCTCCGCAGACAATAGCGCGGCTTTGAGAGCGAAGAATGATCCTCGCGCCTCCTCTCCGAAGTCAAACGGCCGATCCTCGCATTGAAGCTTGTTCAAGTGGGCCGCGATCTTGGAGTAACCTTTGATGAAGCGCTGATAGTAGCCGGTAAGATTGAGGAACGAGCGGACATCCGTGACGTTCCGAGGCTCCGACCACTCTTGGACGACCTTAATCTTGTCCGATAGCGGACTGATGTCCTCAGGTGTGACAAAATGGCCCAAGTATTCCAGCTCTTGACGGACAAATTCGCACTTGTTGCGGTTGGCCTTGTACTTGGCACAGCGGAGCGTCGCCAACACTCGTCGAAGATGTCCAAGATGATCCTTCAATGTCCGGTTGTAGACGAGAATATCGTCTAAGTAGACCAGCACGAACCGGTCCAACATTGCACGAAACTCAGTGGTCATCGCCGCCAGGAACGTCGCCGGGGCGTTGGTGAGGCCAAAAGGCATGACCAACCCACTCAAAATGCCCGTACCGCGTCTTGAAGGCGGTTTGTAGCGATTGTTCGGCTGAATCGAGATTTGATGATATCCTGATTTCAAATCCAACTTGGAAAAATACTTCGCACCGCCCAGTCGCTCGAGAAGATCGTCGATGTGAGGAAGAGGCCCCACATTCTTGACGGTTTGCGCGTTGAGCTTGCGGTAGTCGATACACAGTCGTAGATCCTTGTTCTTCTTCCTAACGAAGAGAACTGGTGCTTCATATGGGGAGCTTCTCGGGCGGATCCAGCCCTTGGCCAACAAATCATCGAGCTGTGCGCGGAGTACCTCAAGCTCCTCCTCGCTCATGCGATAGATGCAACCTTTCGGCGGCACGGCACCGGCCTCAAGAATGATCTTATGAGAGATCGGCCGACCCGGCACCACACCGGTAGGTGACTCGAAGATGTCAGCGAACTCGTCCAGCAATCGTACCACACGGGGGTCCGAAGACAAGTCCGTGGGTGAAGAGTCGGCTGCCACGAAGGTCCGTAGGAAACATAGGCCGATCTCCTCGGGCTGCTCGTAAGCGCAAGTCGCCCGGAATGATTTGGCCGTCACCACTTGGCACCGGATCGAAGAGTGCGGTAGAGGAATAGTGCACGCCACTTCCGCGCCGAGGGCGTTGCGAACGCTAAGAGTCCGCCGATGGAAGTTGACCGTGTGATCCGCACTTGCAAGCCAAGGCATTCCCAGAATGATGTCGAAGTCCGTGTCGAGAATATCGAATGTTACCGGTTCGCATGCATGAGGTGCGAAGTAGACCGGTACGGCCTCGATGTAATGGTCGAGAAGTTGTTGCGTCTTCCCATCCGCCAGCTTGATCGCCGTTGGGTTTGCCTTCCTCCGAACTTGTGCGCCAAGGCCAACTCTTTGCATAAAAGACTGACTCATGAAGTTGCTAGACGCGCCGCTATCCAGCAAATTGCAGCAGGATGCTTGCCCAACCAGGATGCGGACATACATGAGCGGTGCATTGTTGTTATCGTACCGCTGCGTGCGAAACTCGCGGGCCACCTTGGTAATATATGCCAGGATGTCCCCCACCGCGACTTCCTCATCCGTCGGCGAAGTTGGTGGTGCATAGAAGGAAAGGTAAGTGTGGAGATGAGCGCTAAGTGCTGCGCATTGCGGTCCCGGCAAACAGCCTGTGGTCGGGAGAGGAAGCCATGCAAAGTCCTCAGACGTGAGCGGGTCTAATGCCTCTACATTGAACTCGCGCGCCGAATTCCGTGACGAACCACTTGAAGACGATCTGTCGCTGTTGCCGGACGGAGAAGTAACCACACACACTCCTTGTCCTTGAGCTTGAGTACCCAGCGTTGGAACGAGCCGGGCAGCATAGTCCTCAAAAGAAAGTAGAAGCGGAGGACTGTCGACTTTCGCGTGCGCCTCGGAATGAAGGCTGGTTACTCGCAAAGAAACCAGTTCCAAAGGCATCGAGAGTGTCGTCGCGTCACTCTCGGCGGTGCTCAGTTTCCCTGTCTGCCCCTTGTCTTTCAATGGGCAAACCTGCGTCTGATGAAGATCGCTGTTGCACCAAAGGCAATAGTGGAATCTCTCGCGCGCCTTGTATGCGGACTCGGAGATGCCATACGGGGTCCATGGGCCTGTCTGAGCTGCTGCGCCGGGCCCGCGGCTAGAAACGGTGTGTGTCTTCGGCTTGCCGCGCCCTCGGCCTCTGCTGGCGCGGCCACCTTCCCGGGCGGCTGCGAATCTGTCTCCTTCACTGGCAGACRCAGCCTCGCTGGTTTRGTCTAACGGCGCTGCCGCTGCGACCACGACCACTCTTGGCCGATGCTGGTCCCTGCTCGGGCCTGATGCAGATGAACGGAGGTTCTTGGCCTCCTTGTTTGTGATGATGATTTGCGCAGCCTTGTCGAATAATTCCGTCGTCGTCATCAAGGTGTCCTCGACATGCGTCAGGGCCTTGCTCAATGTTGGACATGACCTTGAGATCAAGTAGTGGCGGATGGCCTTGAAGCCCATCTGGATGTCTGGGACTGACGTCAAGCATTGGTACTCGGGGATCCAGTCCGTACTCGGCAGCGTGCCTTGCTCGAAGACCATGAGCTTGTCTATGGCTTTGATCTCTGGCCGCTCCACCTGGAACCGCTTGTGCCACGCCGCCTTCAGATCATCCCAGGTGATCTTGGTGTGCAAGTCATTAGCTACCACTCCATACTTGGACAACAGGTTGTCCAACCAAGCCTGGCACGCGCCCCCTGAGCGAGAGTACAAGTATGCGTGGTGCTTGTGTTCCTTGACGTTGTGGAGCTGGAGCGTGAGCTCGAACTTGCGAAGCCATGGAATTGGATCTGTCTTGATTGAGTCGTGGAAGATCTCCTGCCCATCGAACTTAGGAGCTGTCTCGTGCGGCTCCGGACTCGAGGTGGTGGTGGTAGTGCAGACCTGCTGCTGCAACTGTTGCGTCGCGGTTTGATGTAACTGTGCGCCATCCTAGAGGAAGCCGATGTGCATCTCCAATGCGGTGAGGCGGTCAGCAGTATTGGAAGAGCCTGCATTGGCGGCGGCGACTGGTCGCTGCTCCACCCGCTGAAGGCGGTCTTGGAGATGAGCTACCGAGTTGTCGAGAGCAAGGATCTCCGCCTGCTGTGTAATGCAGGTTGCCAGGAGATCCGTGAGATGCCAGAGGAGGAGCGCTATCTTGTTTGCGCTATCCTCCAACTGGTTATTATCGGCCTCAGTTCACCATTCTGCCGCCATGGTAAGGTATGCCCGCTCTCTGGTAAATATCTTCTCACGACGCTGTGTTCTCTCTTCATCGGCAGCCCTTGCTGCTGCCTCGTCATGCTGGCGCTGTTGTTCAACCGCCAGCAGACGTGCCTGCTCGGCATCCTCTGCCCTTTTCTTTGCTGCTGCGGCAGCGTCATCTGCCCGCTTCTTTGTCTCGGTACTCCAGGCTAACATGCGGGCCTGATAGGCCTCGTCTGTTTTCCCGGCCTTCTAGTCCATGACTGCTGTCTATGAACGGAACAGCATAGTCCAGACCGGTGCCTGCTGATGTGGTATCCCTTGCTGCTGACGTGGCAATGCTTGTCCTGCTGACGTGTCCTGCTGATGTAGCCTGCTGACGTGGTCTGTTGACGTACTTACGTAGCTTGCTGACGTGTCCTGCTGACGTGTCCTGCTGACGTGGTCGGCTGACGTGGCTTGCTGACGTGGCAACTTACCAATGCCGCCGCAGGAATACCCAGATACAAACAGAAACGGCAAGGCGAAAGATGGCAACAACATAGGTGGGGAGGGGTGGGTGGGATAATCGCCGAACTCACACTTAGATAAGGAGTCACTAATCAAAAAAAAAAAGTTTAAACTTTGCAAAAATTTTCGAGAAAAGTAAAAATAAGAAAAATCCCGATTTTTGCAAGTTCGGTAGCTCTCCCAATCTCCCTTGAAGTACGAAATGTTCTCTGAAAGCGAAAAATATTTCGACTTTAGACTGCAACCGATTTATAGAACCAACTGGTAGAATCCAAGAACTGCAAAAAAAGCCCGAACAGGAATGACAAATATTCGGATTTATTCCGATGGGAATATTCACAGTTTGGAAAATAATACGCAGGAGGTATTTCCCGTACCGTTTTCAGAAAAATGAATTTCAGAAAAGAAGATATTCCGAAGTTCTAAGTAACAGGAAATGCGACAGAAAATCGAAACTTTCAAAAAGAAATATATTCCGGATTTTTAACAACGAAATTTCGAATTTTCAGAAAGAAAAACGAAAATAGGAATTTCAGATGTTGCGATATAGCGATTTTCCACAGCAGAATAGCGAGAAAATAAAATCCGGGAAAAGAAAAAATTTTGATTTATTTTTTTTTGTAGTAAGGTCAAGATCGTGATTTTGGGGTCTAACTAGTATGTCCTAATCAAACAGAAAAGACTAACTAGCTTTTTAGTCCCCGCACACGTGTCAGATCAGGTTGTCCTGATTCACGTGCAAAAGCTCCGATACCAACTGTTACATGCACATATATGCAATGTACGTAATAAACCGAGAATCTGCAATGTGATGAAAAGGACTGAATAGACAATGCGGTACGAGTAGAATCTCCACAAGCAATGTACATTCTCATTCATACATAAAGATGCTGAAGAGCGTAGGGAAGACTTTGATACAAATACTGACCTGACAAAACTGACCTCATCCACGTAGTTCGGAGTAACGAAGCAGAATGCTAGAGTGCTACTAACTAGAACAATCAATGTTGAACTCAGACTTAAACATGCATTGTATCCATCACCGAGCGTGAAGGAGCCTGGCGCTGCACACAAGAAGAAAGCGCCAGGTCCAGACATGCACAGACGAAGAGATAAGGATCAGACGAAAGGAGGGAGGAAGATGGGAATGTCGTTAACACCAAGTCTTGGTCACCAATCCCAAATAGTCCCTCGTTGCCATGTCTGAACCCCCGAAAGTCGAGTCTGGGTCAAATGTCACCAAGCTCTGTATCTCTTCTYTCATAGTCTGCAGATGCAGTGAAGTCAGAAGTGAGAGGGAGAGAAGAGATGGTGGACTGAGAAGAAGAAGAAGAAGAACTCTCTCTCTCTCTCTTTGTTACGAACYAGRTACTAACCTGTGATGTTGGCGCTGTGCTGCAGGTACCTCGAAGACGAAGCTGGAGCAACGGCGCTGCAGGTAGGTACCTCTGGCCTCCGCCCAAGCTCTCTCTCTCTCTCTCTAGTACTACCTAGCTATGGCGCCCAGCGCTGGAGACTACAGCTACCTACTGCGCCCAGCGCTGAAGACTACTAGCTAACGCTACAACTACTACAACGCAGCGCTCCCTTCAGAGTGCTGCTCCCGAATCCTGAAGACTACTACTGCCAATTGCTTACCTCGGAAGTGCCTGGGAAGTCCTATGTACTACCTCGGCCTGCCTCCTGGCTGCTGGAGGCCAGTCAGGCCGAGGAGGCAGCTCTTGCCAATGCCGAAGTGTGCCAGGGGCTGGCGTGCAGCAGCCTGCTTGAGGCTGGCATGGGAAACAGACTAATAATAGTCTGTTTCCGAAACCCTGGTTCGGTGCCTGAGTTTCAAGGCCGGTCGTTCTGATGAACGATCGAAAATGGCCCTTCGTTTCAGGCTAAAAAGGTTGTTGCCATTTTTAGTCTGAAACGACCAGGGATAGGCCCTGGACTTCAGGTTTTTGGCCTGAACCGACAGGGGGCCTGTAAGCCCTGGATTTCAGGCTTTCGGCCTGAAATTCAGGCTTTTGGCCTGAACATCTTCGGGCCTGCAAAATGGCCCGTGTGTGCACGCGCTGCATGTAACACCTGGGGTGAGTCGCGCTGCCCTGTAGCTCAGCATGTTGAGAGCATGAGGTCAGGTAGAGGATTGGTAGGGAGAACAGTGCAGCTAAGGATTGTGGTGATTGGGCTTATAGCTGTTTTTGGAAGTGAGATGGGGACTGTTAGGAGTAGCTCATGACTTTCATTTTTTATCTGTATCTTCATCATCATCATCATTATCATTTAGCCGAAGCCGGGAAATGGCCCGGTAATTTCAATACTTGGTGTATAATTTCATGAGGGGCGCTGGGCCGGGTTCCTAGACCGTGGTGCTCCCCACGAATATATCCGGGCTTTGTTTGAAAGGAAAAAAAAACTTGAAGTTTCATCTTGGTCTCACAAATCACTACATCACAGACCAACTTTACTCCGGAAAAGCTGAACCTTTAAACATCATTCATAACTTCGGGCGAAAGTTGGCTTCCTTAGACACTCCTCGGGAATGCGATTCCAAGATTTTCTTCATCGCTCCACCTGTGCTCGAGATGAAATCAGAAATGAAAATGTGAAAACACTCCGAGGACAAACGCTTGGGCTCTGAGAATCTTTCATCCCATGTTGTCCTTGGTCCCAAGTGACCTTGTCAGATACCTAAGAGCCCCAAGATCCCTGTGTAATATGCCAAGGATCCCTGTTTCATGGAGAGTATAGGGAAATTCAATGCACAGTACGAGAATCCGGATCATGGCAGGACCCTATTGGCTGAAAGCCTGAAGCACAACTCTTTTTTCTTTTATTTTGCTTTTTCTTTTTGCTGACATCACTCTAATGAGTAATGTCTTAGCCCAAAAAAAAAGTACGGACGTTGTACAACGAGTTTTAGGGCACAACTTTGGAGGAGCCTATAGTCTCACCGTCATTTTCTCGAATTTGGTTGGGAATTTCGCCACGACCCTCGGGAGAAAGTTGTTCATATTGCACTTTTGAACAACATTTTTTTTTTTTAATGGTTTTTTTTGGATGTTTCTGAAAAATCATAATTCTAAAGAAATCAGAAAACAGAATGTCCCCGTTCTTTGGCCCTTTGGGACATCTGTTGAAGTTAGAACGATAAAGAGAAGATTAATGTGGCCCCTGCGCGAGGATGAAGTGCAATTATTGATAAATGGTCCATATATATTTCCCTGCCTTTAAATAACATTTTTATTCTCGTTTTTTTTCTCTCTCGAATTTGGTTGTGAATTCGGACATGACCATCAGGCAACAGTAGTTTGTATTGCAATACTGTACAAAATTTGTGTTTTTTTGGGATTTCTTTCTTTTTGAAAAATCGAAATATCCAAAAATTCGAAACAATATCACTGTACGTTCTATTTGAAAACAAAATCAGCATATTCTGGAAACCACTTAGAGGTAAGTTGAATATAATGTACGTACGTTCTTTTCAGGTTAAACCACCAGTACTTGGCCCAGCTATAGGCCGGGGAAAGAAATAGAGTAGAAACGTTTCTAGTGGGATGAATTTGGGCGCTCCTGTAGTGGCCCGTACATTTCCCAAAATCGTGGCCCGTATGTTTCCTAAGGCCGACACTGGGAGGATGAGTAGAACGAAGACAACGAAATCCGTAAATTTTTCATCAGTAGCAAACTCTGGTAAGGATGTAAAAAGAGAGAGAGAGAGAGAGAGAGAGAGAGAGAGAGAGAGAGAGAGAGAGAGAGAGAGAGAGAGAGAGACATCCTGTTTTTAGAAGGACGTATGTAGCAGCCTCTACACCTGTGGCTGATGGACGTAATCTATGGACTGGATAGACAGCGGACTCCTCGATGCTCCGAATTGCACTCCTGGGCGTCCTCGCACCACCTGAACGTTGAAATTGCTGCTCAACGAYAGATCGAGCCCTCCTAGAGYTAGGCTGATGGGGAATGTGTAGGAGACTSGCATACTCATGCTTCCCGCCACGAGGTAACGAGCTCCGACATATCTGGGATTGCCCGCCCTTGGCGTGYTAGCGYCGGCATCAGGCTCGTTGATGAACACGTATAGCGCCAAGGACTTGTYCACCGARTGAGCAACATTGCGTAGGGCCAGCTCCGGCAACGCCCCATGCCGGGGAGTAGTCTCRGGAGACTGCATGAATGYAGTAGCCACGTTTGGGTCCTCAGCGGAGACAGTCRCCGGGGCTCGGAAAGTTCAA